ACTGGTGGGGGAATTCTGGGAGTTGAAGTCCACACATCTTAAAGCTATCAAGTTGGAAGATCCCTGGACTAAGCAATCAAAGAACTGATAGAAAACCACAGCTTTTAGTTTATAAGATGAGGGGGAAATCTCACTCTTTCAAGAGTCTCAACATCTTTTCTGTATCATGGTGACCAGAACTGGAAGCAGTATTCCAACTGTGGTCTTATACCAAGGCAGTATATAGCAATACTAACACATTACTTGATCTTGATGCTATCCCTCTGTTCATGTAACCTAGAATTACACTGGATTTTTTTTGGCAGCTGCAGCACACTGCTGGCTCATAGTTAAGTTATGGTCTGTTAGGACTCCGAGATCCCTCTCACAGTTAATGCTGATGAGCCAGGTACCACCTATTCTATATCTGTTCATTTGTTTTTCCTTTCCTAAGTAAGGCCTTTTTTTCACCACTGAATTGCATTTTGTTGAATAGGGCCCAGTCTTCAAGTCTCAGTTTAATTCTCAGTTTCCAAATTCAGTAGGTTCTGAAAAAGTCTTTGTGCAAATCCAACCAGAGAAATAACTTATTGCTAATATTTTCTAAGAGTCAACTCAGAAATGAAATTGACAATAATTCAGTATCTGGACTTGAGAAATATAATTAATTGAGAAATGTTGACCCACTTTGTGGAAGCATAAATAATATGGAAGAGAGTTGACTGAAGATGTGGAGTTAAAATAAATAATATATAAGTTTCAGGATACTGAGTTCCATAAAAAGCTCTAAGAAAATAGCTGTAGCTGGGCTGCAAAAAAGCTAAGCAACTTGATAGTGGAAACTTACTGTTTATTGCCCTCTACTGTTTGCTGGATTAATTGCAGTCCAGATATGACTCCTACTCAATGTGTTCCAGATTCCAAGAGTCAATTGGCTATTTTGAATATCAGCGAATATTGTATAAGTTAATTTTTTTCCTGCTCTCAGGGCTGAGCAATTACATTTCTTGTCAGGATTTTTTTAAAATTATTAAAAAAGATCTGTACTGCAATAATCAAAATAAATCTGGAATTTATATTGCTCTGCATACCCCTGACATTGACAAATCTTGAAAACGTCTGCCTTTGAGATGGGGACTTGAAAGATGGGGACTTTTAAATCAAAGGCATGTTCCCTTCACCTGCATCTGAATTATTTCTGTAATGCTGGTGCAACGCCGTTGCCTTCTGTAGTCAATCTACCCAAAGATGTTTAAAATTTCACAGGGGAAGGGCGTGCACTGTGCATACACCTTCTTTTCAAGTCTGCTTGTGTCTTGAGGATTATTCATTATAGGATGCTTTTAATCCTGCATTCATGTTTGTGAATAATAAGTTTTAGCATAGTTCTGACTCAGGACTTGTCTTTTTCACTTAAGGTTTATGTAAACATTTGGGGAAGAATAATGTCATTGAGGGTGATAAGGAGGTGATCTGCCAGGAAGAAAAGAATAGTATGAACCAGCAATAATTTAGGTCTAAAAAAACCAAAGATCTGACACTTGGATGTGCTTCTTCTCAGAACGGCATTGTTTCCTTGAACAAATAAGGGTGAGTTGTTTTTTTGTTACCTGCAGATGTGATAGTAGGAAAAAATGGAGAAGTAAAATTCATCATTGGCTCAGTGATGTTTAATAGCATTGGAAATTGCCTTGGCTGAAGCTTTTGATATAGAACTTTGAAAAAGCTTACAATAACGAATATACACTGCTCAAAAAAATAAAGGGAACACTTAAACAACACAATGTAACTCCAAGTCAATCACACTTCTGTGAAATCAAACTGTCCACTTAGGTAGCAACACTGATTGACAATCAATTTCACATGCTGTTGTGCAAATGGAATAGACAACAGGTGGAAAGCATAGGCAGTTAGCAAGACATCCCCAATAAAGGAGTGGTTCTGCAGGTGGTAACCACAGACCACTTCTCAGTTCCTATGCTTTCTGGCTGATGGTTTGGTCACTTTTGAATGCTGGTGGTGCATTCACCCTAGTGGTAGCATGAGACGGAGTTTACAACCCACACAAGTGGCTCAGGTAGTGCAGCTCATCCAGGATGGCACATCAATGTGAGCTGTGGCAAGAAGGTTTGCTGTGTCTGTCAGCGTAGTGTCCAGAGCATGGAGGCGCTACCAGGAGACAGGCCAGTACATCAGGAGATGTGGAGGAGGCCGTAGGAGGGTAACAACCCAGCATCAGGACCGCTACCTCCGCCCTTGTGCAAGGAGGGACAGGAGGAGCACTGCCAGAGCCCTGCAAAATGACCTCCAGCGGGCCACAAATGTGCATGTGGCTGCTCAAATGGTCAGAAACAGACTCCATGAGGGTGGTATGAGGGCCCGACGTCCACAGGTGGGGGTTGTGCTTACAGCCCAACACCGTGCAGGATGTTTGGCATTTGCCAGAGAACACCAAGATTGGCAAATTCGCCACTGGCGCCCTGTGCTCTTCACAGATGAAAGCAGATTCACGCTGAGCACATGTGACAGATGTGACAGGGTCTGGAGACACCGTGGAGAACGTTTTGCTGCCTGCAACATCCTCCAGCATGACCGGTTTGGCAGTGGGTCAGTAATGGTGTGGGGTGGCATTTCTTTAGGGGTCCGCACAGCCCTCCATGTGCTTGCCAGAGGAGCCTGACTGCCATTAGGTACCGAAATGAGATCCTCAGACCCCTTGTGAGACCATATGCTGGTGCGGTTGGCCCTGGGTTCCTCCTAATGCACAATGCTAGACCTCATGTAGCTGGAGTGTGTCAGCAGTTCCTGAAAGATGAAGGCATTGATGCTATGGACTGCCCCGCCCATTCCCCAGACCTGAATCCAATTGAGCACATCTGGGACATCATGTCTCGCTCCATCCACCAATGCCACGTTGCACCACAGACTGTCCAGGAGTTGGGGGATGCTTTAGTCCAGGTGTGGGAGGAGATTCCTTAGGAGACCACCTGCCACCTCATCAGGAGCATGCCCAGGCATTGTAGGGAGGTCATACAGGCACGTGGAGGCCACACACACTACTGAGTCTCATTTTGACTTGTTTTAAGGACATTACATCAAAGTTGGATCAGCCTGTAGTGTTTTTTTCCACTTTAATTTTGAGTGTAACTCCAAATCCAGACCTCCATGGGTTGCTAAATTTGATTTCCATTGATAAATTTTGTGTGATTTTGTTGACAGCACATTCAACTATGTAATGAACAAAGTATTTGAAAAGAATATTTCATTCATTCAGATCTAGGATGTCTTATTTTTGTGTTCCCTTTATTTTTTTGAGCAGTGTATTAATTCACATCCACTTACCTTTGACTGCTATACTAATAAAAGTTTCCTAATAGATTTTCTTAATCTGTACAAATCTCCTTTGGCATAGAAATAGTAAATATAGATTTTTAAAAATATTTGCATATGTATTGTTTTTTATTTCTTTATTTTGATTGCTTTTGTCACTACATGCTTTCCTACTTAATTCTGTTTCTTTATAATAATGTTTTTCAATCTGCAAAAAGAAAAAGAAAAGATGGACCAGCAAGTCAATCTATTTCATCTAAGAGAGAGGATTAGTTTCTGAGAAGATTCGTAAAGATGAGTCCTGATGGTGCAGTGGTTAGAATGCAGTATTGCAGGCAAACTCTACCCACAGTCTGGAGTTTGATCCTGATGGGCTCCTGAAGATTGACTCAGCCATCCATCCTTCTGAGGTCAGTAAAATGAGGGTCCAGGTTGTTGGGGGCAGTATGCTGATTCTGTAAACTGCTCAGAGAGAGCTATAAAGCATTGTGAAGTGGTATATAAATCTAAGTGCTATTGTTAAATTAGTGGTCCATAGAAAACATGAACCAACATCTGCAGCTACAAACTAAGCTCCATTCTGTACGCTTTTCTCTGTTTGGACTTTATAGAAGTGGGTATTGTATGAATTCTTCTATCAATACAAAAACTTGAGAGGGCAACTTTAACATCAGGGGTGGGATTCTACCAGTTCACACCTATTCACTAGAACCGGTTGTTAACATTCTAAGCAGTTCGGTTGTTAGAAGAAATTACTGGCCTAATCCTGTAAGGAAGGCAGGAAGGAAATATTCTAGTGTTGCTTACAGAAACTGCCTCTCCGTTAACCCTTATTACATTCTTGGCAGGACTAGACTTCCTGTCTCAGGAACTTCTCTGGAGTTTTTTTCCCCTCCTTTGCTGGTACTTTGCTTGTGTGGAGTGACCATTCAAAGTTACAATGGCGCTGAAAAAAGTTACTTATGATCATTTTTCACACTTATGACTGTTGCAGCATCCCCACAGTCATGAGAGGCCAGGCGAGGAGATGTGTACCTCGATGTGAGTGATATTGAGTTGGCCACACCCAGCCAATAACATGACCACCAAGCCATGCCCACCAACTAAGCCACGCCCACAGAACCGGTTATTTAAAAAATTTAATCCCACCCCTGATTAACATATAGGATTATTTGTGATTAATGAAAACCATCAAGGTATATAATAGTTTTGCTGATACTGAGAACATGTATTGATACCAAAACAAAAATAGGCAAGCAATTCTAATAAAGCAGAATCCAAATCTCACTTTGCACTTCAGTTCAAAATGAGAATATTTTGTGTGCAGAATACTTTGAATGTAAATGTTTTGAGTTCAAAACAGGTTTCTTCAGTTCAAAATGCTGTATTTAAAACATTATTTCAATTGAAAAACGCTAGCAGGCAGAGGGTTGTAATTTTGGATATACATACATACATACATACATACATACATACATACATACATATCCAAATTTCAAGATATATATACAATTTCAAGATCCCCTTGTGTTGAAATTAATGCCCAAACTAGGCCTAAGTGAGAGTGTATACATCTTCCAAAAGAAAGCATACTGTGTGTACTTCATACACACTGTGTGGACATTGTATGTAAGCGTATCTGAGCTCTATTTTAGGTTTTGTACATTTCACGATTTGTTTTCCGGGCCTTAGAGCTCAGGGGAAGCTAACTCAGTGATGCAATGGTTAGGAGGAGTTCCTGGGAAAGGAGCAGCAGCTGGTAGCAGAAGGAGGGCAGGCTGAGTTTGAACCTGGAGCTTTAAGCAGGAGAGTCTCATCTTTGTTTCTTAATGGAAAAATGGCACCCCCTGCAATCCTCCTAATCTGCCCTTCACTCCTTCTGTTGCTTATTTATCATGCAAGTAAGTAAACTTTGAACTCTTGTTTTCAATCCCCTAATGATCAATATGATATTTTAAAGAGAAAGATACCTAAGAAAATGTATTTTGTCCATTAAGTTTTAACATGATGAGCTGGTGAGTTTATGAATGCAATTTTGTAACCTGATAAGGGCGTTCCTGACTTTCCATGTCAGGAATTTTATATATAAAATATGTAAAATAATCTATATTTTAGATTATAAATGAATCATATTCTAATCTATGTTTAGATAATACATATAATTGTCAATATACTATATTGACATTATTTCATGGATTATATTTTATTTAATAGATAACTAAAACTACCTCAAAAAGTTTTGAAAAGCAGAATAGAATAGGAGTTGGAGGGGACCTTGGAGGTCTTCTAGTCCAACTCCCTGCTCAGTCAGGAAACCTTATGCCATTTCAGACAAATGATTGCCCAGTCTTTTCTTAAAAACCTCCAGTGTTGGAGCATTCACAATTTCTGGAGGCAAGTCGTTCCACTGGTTAATTGTTTTCACTGTCAGGCAATTTCTCCTTAGTTCTAGGTTGCTTCTCTCCTTGATTATTTTCCATCCATTGCTTCTTGTCCTTCCCTCAGATGCTCTGGAGGATAAGTTGAGCCCCCCTCCTTTGTGGCAGCCCCTCAAATATTGGAAAACTGCTATCATGTCAACCCTAGTCCTTCTTTTCAAAGCCTGTGATGGGAGAAGGCCAGAAATTATTGCAAATGGATAGGCACACCTGGGGCTCTCAGATGCTGTTTAAATGATACGCAAGGAATATGATAGATGCTCCTATTTCCAAGTTAGGTCGGGCTAAGTTGGGTAAATGAGGAAGAAGAAGCTCAGCAAGATGGTTAGTATGTAGGAGATATGTATCAGGAATGTAACTAACTGATCTAGAAAATAATATATGGCAATTATATAGTATGCTTTATTTTATTTAAGTTACAAATGGTTGAGAAAAAGCATAGCTTATCTAATCCTTGTGGTGTACGGGAAATATTAGATTCATATCAGCAATTGATTGATTGATTGGTTTTTTCCCCCTTGATGGCTAAATCTAAGATGGCTATTCCATTATCTAGATGCAATGAATGTGTTCAGGGTACGTCCGTTCGACAATATTTCTCTGCCCTGCCAGTTCTCCTTTGTGGATAGCACGGAAGGTTTATCCTTCACCTGGGAGAGGGAAGATATCAAGGAGGAGCACGAAGTAGAAGATGATGATTTTTACAAATATTTTGTTGGACTTCATGATTTTTATCAGTTTTATCCGAAGGTGATATATAGCTTTAGCAACAACATGGAACAAGTGGAAGAGCGGAATTCCCTCTATGAAGGCAGAGTCTGGGTGGATGAGGAAGAGATTCCAGAGGGCAGCCTGACCCTCATGCTGGACCAGGTTCAGTTCTCTGATGAGGCTATGTATATATGCAAGGCCACTAATACCCGGGGCAGAGGGTCAAGAAAAATGAAGCTTGTTGTGGAAGGTAAGAATGTTTTTGTTATGATCCAGGGTGGGATACAAAATAAACACAGTCATAAAAAACAGGTGAAGCCCCTTTTATTCCTTCACTTTGCTTCCAAACTCCAAATATCCTTGACTGAAGACAAAAAACTCCCACACAAACAGTTACAAGAAGAAGCGAAAAAGCAACACAAACCAGGCAAGATAAGGGCGTCCACAGATATCAGAACACACATTGGGAAGGACGCCAAACTCAGAGTGGAACTATAAACTAGAGATATTTCCACGCTTTGTTTCAAGCGCTCACCCGTACATATGTCTGTGCTCTTATTCAGTTGTCACAGCTGCAGCCCATGAAGAGAATCAAGGCCCTCTCCTCCCAAGTAGACCACGTCTCTCCCTTATCCTCTCCTCCCTGCGTGCCCTAGGATGGAGAGGGGATGGGCCTGGGTCCTCCTCTGACTTCCCAGCCAGCCTCTGCCCTTCCCCAGCCTCCTCCACAACCTCCAGAACCACACTTCCACTCCCTGTTGGTTGTTCCTCCTCTCCCTCAGAGTCAGTCTCCACCAGGGGCATGACAGTTTTCCAGTTTTGCCCAGTTGAAAATACCTAATACAGGAGTACTGTGCTGTGTAATTTATCTTTTATAAATTGCTGACACTTTTTTTCTTCTGGTATGAATTTTATCTGTTTATTCTGCAATAAGCCTGACTTCTGTAGAAGAATGCTCATTTCGAAGTGAATATATCTCCTCTCACCAGATTTTTTAATACTTTATCTTGCTTAGAAAACAAATCAAATCATAGACTGAGGGATATATGACTTAGCAATAGATAGTAAAATATGCAATAAAAACAATAACAGGGAATAAAAGATAGTAATTAAAATTTAAAAATATCACAGCATATTTTTTAAAAAACTAAGCATAAATTTAGATTCCAACAATTTTTGTATATACACTGCAAAATTGTTGCAACTCAAAATTTCTTGGTTTCAATCTTTAGACAATCAAAATTGAGGCAGAATATGAAGGGTAAGTGATTTTTCAGGAACAATTTTTGAACACTGGACCTACCATAAAGTGAGACCTGTCATCTTAAGGTCTCTTAAAAGGTTACTAACAGTAGTGCGTCCTATTTCCAAATGGCGAGAAATATCAAGATTCCACTGTTAACTTGACCTTCGGTAATTTTTGAAAATTATTTCTTTTACAACTTTGTTTCTATAAGATAGCTTGCTTTTTTAAAACGTATGCACAGAGCCTGAGCTTGATAACATTAAAAGCATTAACATTTCAAGAGGAATATTTTTACTAACGTAAGAGAATTCAGAATGCGACAGAAATTGCTGGTATGTCTAGTAAAACACAGAGTCTTTTTCTGAATATATATTTTATCCCTTCAGCTGAAAAGGCCTAGAAATAGCAACAGAAGAATAAGCTGGAGTGGTTATGTAGTTTGCTTAATTAGGAGAAATCGCATTTCTAAGCAAAGCAAATCTCAGCAAATTCTTACATAGTTAATCATGAATATTGGCTAAAAGATTATCTTGTTAAGATTTTAAAAGGGTGAAGTTGTTTCCAAGTTAAAACATTATTTGATCAACAAGAGCCTTGTTTTTTCAGTAAATATAGAGGAATGCAATTTCACCTGACCTTTCAAAAATGTACATTTTATTTCTTAAGCATACACCAGAAACCAAGCCTAGCTGCATTATTCCCACATTCTGCTAAGTCATATTATGAAAATAGAGGAATCTATTTGATATTATTACTTAAAGCAGGGCAGCAAGTAAGAGAGGAAAGTTAGAGCAGAGGACTCCAAACTTGGCAACTTTTAAGATTTGTGGACTTCAACTCCCAGAAATGTCCAGCCAGCATAGCATAGCTGGCTGGGGAATTCTAGGAAGTCCACAAGTCTTAAAGTTGCCAAGTTTGGGGACTGCTGAGTTAGAGGAACAGAATAAAATGATCAGCAGTAAATTGGGAATAGCTCTCAGAGTGATAATCCTCAAAAGTAAAACCAGGCAATAAAACTGGTATATTTTTGGGAGTCAGAGGTGAACTTGAAACTAAGTAACCAGAGAACAAGGGACATGACTATCAATGCCGAACAGAAGTATTTATATAAGTAAAGGAGAAGCTTTGAAGATTAATTTTCTGGAAATAATGTGTTCCTTCTCACACCCACAATTTATGCCCTACCATTTTTTCTTATTTTTCTTCTGAAGAAATTGAGACATTGCAAGTCATAGCTAAGATATAATGAATCTTACTATAATACTAAAAAAAATATCCTACAGCAGATTTTCAGAAGTTCTAATCCAGCATTTCCCACATCACATTTTCTATATATCTAGGGCTTTAGCTCTTCCAGTTCTACAGTCTGGATGTCCAATGCCTCTACTGAATTGATAACTACTGGAAATGAAGAATACAAGCTCTGGAAACCTCTGTGTAACACGTTTGAGACATCTCAGAGCAATTGTTACAAAGCCGTAATTAGATTATTACTAATTGTTCTGTTTTTCCACTTCTCTCAATTAGATGCTGAAGAGCCACAGGTGCAGTTCAGCACAGTCGATGACATACTTGTAGCCAAGTGCATCTCAGCAGGCTGGTACCATATGCCTAAGGTAACCTGGCGTAACCGCAAAGAAGAGGATCTGTCCGGCTATTCCAAAACAGAGATTCTGGAAGAGAAACAGGATGGGTCCCACCGAGTGGTATCTACGTTACATTACCCTGTGTTACTCCATGAAATCTACACTTGTCACATTGAAGAGAGCGATGTGCTCAACAGACCTGTTAGGTCCATCCACAAAGTTCCAAGTTAGTAATTTCTTGTTGAAAGTCTCTGTTGGGTGTTGAAAGAAGAAATACGTTGTTAAGCAAAGGAGCATGGATTAAGCATGATAGAGTAGCTGTTTTCTTCTTCCCAGCAACCTTGCTCAGAATGCTATCTTTCAGTGGTGGGAAATGGTTAAACAAATCATTGGGCTAGGAGGAAGGCATATGGATTTTTCCTTGTTCCCATTGACTGTGGTCAAGAGTACAAGAGGCATGAAGGAGAGGGCGGCTCAACAAAGAGAGGGTGACAGTGCAAGTGTGAGTGTTGGCCTTTGAGATGTTGCTGATTATACATCCCAATCATAATGCTTAATGGAATATGGCAGTTATATTCAGGAATGCTATGGTATTACAGATTCCCCAGTTCTATAGTAGTTTGTGTGTGAGAGAGATACACAGACAAACAAAGATGTGATGAATATCAGAAGTAATGGAGGAAAGATGTACGCACATGTAGAATCATGGACCAAACCAACAATTTGTGTAGATTGTTCTCCAGGGATGGGATCCGACCGGTATAACTACTGGTTCTGTTGCTCTGCGTCGCATGCACATGCACGAGTTGAGTGAGTTGCGTGAGTGCAATTTACGACCTGCTGAGCTGCCCGGACAGCTGAGCAGCGCTGCGTGTGGGTGCACAGTGATTGGAAAAGCCCTTTTTTCCTGCTTTTTCCACTGCAGCTGTGCCACGCAAAGCAGCTGCGGTTGAAAAAGCAGGAAATAAAGGACAGGTAAGAACCCAGGAGGGCGGGTGGGCCAAAACAGCAGCAGACACAGAACCGGTTTTGTGTTTGCTGCTCTTCAGAGCTACTGGTTCTGTAGAGCTGTACAGAACCGGTAGAATCCCACCCCTGTTGTTCTCTCATGAGTTAGTATTAGTAGACCCAATATAGTTCTCCTGTTTCTTGAAAGCAGTTTGGCCACATGCAAAAACAATCAGCTGGATCTGATTATCCATCTGTCCAGGCAAGAGGAAGGAGTAAAAACTTCCACACTACTCTTCTGAATATTCATGAAGGTTCAGATTGAGAGTTGTGGTATCTTAAAAGCCATTTCTGGTTTGACACTCAACAAGATGTCATTTATTCCTAGTTAGAAAACTGGCTTCTCATTTCAATTAATGCTTGTTGACAGCTCAATTTTAAAAATACATCTTTAGAAATACATTCCATTGAATTCAAAGAAACTTACCATATTTTTTGCACTATAAGACGCTCCAGATCATAAGATGCACCTAGCTTTTGGGAAGGAAAACAAGAAAAAAAATCTGCCTCTGCCTCCCAGCATTTTGCTTCCTTGCAGCAAACAGGCTAGTCAGCTTCAGCACAGCCTGATTTAGCATGAGCAGCTAATTGGCGGATGGATCGGCCTCCCCACCGCCATTGCCACCATCACCACCCATTGCCGCCGCCCATTGATGCCTCTGCACGCCCCATTTTTGGCCTTCGTGAACCCCATTTTCAGCCTCTGTGTGCCCCATTTTTGGCCTTTGCACATCCCATTTTCGGCCCATTCTAAGCGGTGGGGATTGCTGCCGATTGCTGCCGATCGCCGGTGCTGGCGCAGATTGCTGCCTTTTGGCAACGGCGAACGGCAGCGATAGGTGGTGATAGGCAACAATAGGTGGCAATAGGCAGCGGCAGTAATTCCCACCACCTGGAATGGGCGAAAAATGGGACGTGTGGAGGCCGAAAATGGCCAAAAGATGGGGATGAGGGGGGTTCGTCAACATTTGTTCTATAAGATGCACAGACACTCCACCCATTTTTTTAAGGGGGAAAAGTTTGTCTTATAGTGCAAAAAATATGGTAATTATCAGTAAAATTGGCAACTTTAAAGAACAGGTGTTTAGAACGTCAAAAGTGTTTTATTCTCTCTCACAAACAGTAGACAGAATGTGGGGTCCAATTAGTTTTTTTATATGCATATCTCCATTTTCTGTTTGCAAAAAACAGAAAAAGTTAATTTCTAATATAGCAATTGATAGTGTACTTAATAATTGAGATTGGTATACTTAGTTCAAAGATGTAGCAGTACTACTGATGCAGCTACCCAAGGGGAGTCTCACAAACCTCTCTGAGAAAACAAAATGGCTCCTGGCAGGTTAGTTATGTAGAAGTAAGTTCTATTCAGGTGATAATAGAACTATTATCTATTCAGCATTAGGCCACGTTCTGTGGTAATTTGTGTTGATATAAGATTATGTAAGTACTTATCCTGAAATTTTGAATGAGTATGAACCTGTAAATGTCCCTATAGCAAAATGGGAAAACGTTCTTCTCTTCAGGGGCAGATTCTTAGAAGACTTATTTCCTAGTGAGCCAACGTATCAATTGTAAATGGCCCTATTTATTATTTATCTTTCTGGCACTCTCTTTTTTCTTTGACTTTCTCATCACAGATCATTGCTCCACTAGTGATTTGCAGGGTATTCTAGAGCATCCGCCACAGTAGAAAAATAGCAGTAATATTTGGTTCCACACTAGTGATTTGTAATATCTCACACCATTGTTCAATTATTGCCGTGGAAGAAATAGTCTTCGTTATTGATAGGTTGCCACAGCAATGACAGCGGGTGACACTGAAAATGCTATAATGCTGTAAATGGTGAATGACAGCTTTTTAAAAAATCATTTCAGTGAGTTGTATGATACGGGGAAGACACTATGCAGTGGGCAAGGGGTGTGTGCTCTTCTTCATGACTGCATTGTTGTGCTTTCCTCCAATCCATGCAGCACCACAAAACCATCCTGGGATATTTCTATTCTGCCCTCATTGATGAATCTCATTCTGCCTCAGCAGTGAGCAAAGCAAATGATGCTCTTCTTAAGAGACTCAAATGGGGCAATCAGAGGAGAGTAATTGATGAAATTCTCTTGGCTTCACCTGCCTGAAGAAACAATGCTATGTGAGGAGAAGACAAGTTTTCACAGGTGGTAGAACAAGCCATCAAAATATGGTTAGCTGGTCAGTGTTTGTTGGGAAGTAGTTCTGTCTGTTCTAGCAACCAGTGCTTTATTGAGTGAACCCAACTAACTCATCTGCAGGAATGGATGGTCTGCATGGGAGTATTCATTCTATCCAAGTAAGCAGGAAACTGTCGGCTTTATCAGGCAGAACATAACATCATCCCCTGCAGTAAAGTTGCCCATCCAGCCCTGGCACATCCGGCAGTCCTGCAGCTGATTGGGGGTGGGGGTGGTACTGAAGGGCACCTACTTGGAAACAGGCAATCTTCCAGAAGACTGATGGACATGTTTCCAAAAAAGTGGGGGAGTGTTAAACAATTTATTCCCTCTGCCTTTTCCTTTCCCCCCTCTCTCTCCCTCCCTCCCTCTCCCCCTCTCCCCCCTCTCTCTCCTAGCAGAAAAATGGGGACAAAGTGGCCCATGTTTAAAAACAGCATTTCCCACTTTTGCTTTCCCCCCCCCCCCATCCCAAAGAATGAAAGGGGATTAAATCACCAGGGACAGCAGGTTAGAGCAAAATCTATGTTTCAAAACAGCTTTCACCACTTTCCTTGCCAGCTTGAAAAAGAGATACAATAGGCAGGGGATTACTTTCCTGGAAAATGAGTGACACTCTCTTGGTTTCTCCTGTCATGCAAGCCCAAGAAGTCCTGGAAAGCTATGGTTGCCAATAGCCTCAGGTGCTGGGCAGGTTGCAATCACTAGCCATGCCCTCCCTAGGCATCCTTGGGGAGATGTTGAAGTTGTTAAAACAGGAACTCTTGTTCCAGGAGAAAACTAAAAGCACACCTTTAACATGAGAACTTCTAAATATGTCTTTGGGCTGCTACTGCAGTGGGCTAGAGTTCCCAAGGCAGCCTCATGAGGATGTGCCCTTTAACACTGATTAGGGAGGCAGTTTCACACTGTGATTAGTGGACCATGAGGAAGAGCCCAGAATCTGATGGGCAAGTTGTTCTTGCCAATGATCTGAAATGATAGCTAGTAAAAAGAGCCTTTGAAATTAGGGTGAATGGCTGCATGAAACTAGATCAAAGGTATCATGATGTTTCAGGTAGCACATTCCTATGATAGAGGTGAAAAGGTTTCAGGAAATTAACTTTTTCCAATCCATACAAAGTGTAAGCATAAGCACATGGGAAAACAGGGAAAAATATTTTACATAGGAAACTATGAAATACACCTTAGCCCATGTAAAATGGATGCAGTAGTTGGGATTTCAAAATGTTGGTATCTGACCATTAATAGCAATGAAGTTGCTACAGAACCAGACAGAAAATATTAGCAAGTTTGGTCCGATGGGTCAACCAAAAGTGTATGCGTAGATATATAGAAGATATAGATACAGGTAGTCCTCAACTTACAATCATTCATTTACTGACGGTTTGAATTTACAATGGCACTGAAAAAATTACTTATGACTGTTTTTCATAAGACTGTTGCAGCATCCCCAAGGTCACATGACCAAAATTCGGATGCTTGGCCACTAGCGTGTATTTATAACAGTGCAAGTGATTCACTTAACACCTGTATCAAAAGTGGTTGTAAAATGGGGCCAAATGCACTTAACAACTGTCTTGCTTAGCAACTAAAATGTTGGGCTTAATTGTGGTCGTAAGTCAAGGACTACATAAATAAGTATGTATATAGGTATTAATATGTAGAGGTAAATATCTGTGAGGACCCAGAGTGGGATTCAAAAGCAACAAAGTCACAAAAACAAGTGAAGTCCCTTTAATTCCTTCAACTTAGCTTCAAAGGTCCAAATATCATTAACTGGAGAAAAAACTCCCCCACAAACAGTTGCGAAAAGGAAGAACTTCATTCAAACTCAAAATTATAAATAGAATAATTATAAATAGAATAATTATAAATAGAATAA